CGGCCCGCGGGCCCCTGGCCAAGGCCGCCCGGCCGCCGGCAGATGGTGCCCTGCGTCTGAGCACCAGGGAAACCCAGCTAAAGTAAAGGCTCAGACTCCGCCCCAGCCAGTCTGCCGGCGCAGCAGTCACCCGTCCTTCCCAAAATAGAGCCGAGCACGTTTCCTCCCGAACACCGCAGTAGCCGGTGTCTGTGTCTGATTTACAAACCCGGGCCGAACCGAGAGTGTGCGCCGAAGTGGGACCCCCCGCGCCAGGGGCGAGGTGACCGCCAAGGAAACACAGAGGACACGGAGACCGGTCCATTTCGCATCTGCGTAAGCCCGGCCGCCGGGCCGCGGGGAGGCCACTCACCATGTTCACTTCGGAGACCATATCTATGCTGGCGACATCGATCCGCATCCCGACGTCCACGGGGGGCCCTGCCAGGGAGGTGGGACACACGAAGACATATTCCTGAGCGGCAACGGGCTAGGAAGGCTGAGGGGGGCTTCCCAGCCCTTACTACATCCCGAACGGGCTCGCTCCCCACTCCCCCCCTCGGGGACAGCCACGGGAAACAGGTGTGGGTACACGCGTGATGCAGTGACTATGCAGAGGGTGTGTCCGGCCCGGGAGGTCAGCTTAGCCTAGGATTCTGCACCTGAGCCTGGGAGTCCTGCGTGCGCGCGCGTGTGTGTGTGTGTGTGTGTGTGTGTGTGTGTGTGTGTGTGTGTTTTCCAGGGTGTTAATGCACCCTCACGAAAATGGCATTTTTTTTTTTGCATTTATCTCTGTCAGAGAAGGTGAATTGGGGATGGGTTACAGGTTGAGAAAAGATGAAGCATTACCTCCAAAGTCCGGCCTCAAACGAATGTCATATCCTTTGAGCAATCTGTCCACTGTCTCTTTCACGTATGACATGTTGCTGGGTTCATTGGCGCTGAGGGGAAGAAGTAGGGACCGTATTCAACACAAGCACAAACTGAGAGCAGACATAAAGAGACACAGGCACACCTACCCCCAAATACCAAGATACACGATCCAGCAGGCATGTGAAAAGAAAAACACCAAGAAAAGAGAGAGAGAGAGAGAGATTCAACAACGGAAGCTCACCTGTGTGCACAACAGACCATGGCAATCATCACTGGGAAAGAGAGAAGCCCCAAACTCTCTCGATTTTGTACTGTCCACATTACTAACTCTGATTAAAGAATTGTCTTTTCTGCGAAGATTCAAGGAATGCAACTTAGTCAGCGGCTGGGCAGTAAATCCCGAATGGACCTGCGCATGCGCAGAGGGTGCTCACTACCAAAAGACACCTTGTGCCTTGCAAACAATATTCCTAGTGGAACAGGCAACAGATTTCAGTCCCTTTAAAGTTCCTGTTTGGGGTGCTCCGCGTTCTCTGGGTAGTCAGAGGTAACCTGCTGTCTCCGGCCCGGGATTATGGGGCATGTGAATATGTAATTTTCCTTGTGCACTGGGACATTCTATGCTTCTTTCCTTTCGGCCCTCAATCTGATTTTTTTTTTTTTTTTACTCCGTTCTCAGTGGTTTAAGGATGCCTGTGATTTGCATCTTTCCTTGACAGTCACAGAGGATCCTAGAACAGGGAATCCAGAGCGGGTTCTCGCGGCCGTTGAAAGAGGAGTTGGGAGGGGCGCGTGCAGGAGAGTGGAAAGGGAAATCCTAGAAGACGTGGAAAGGGGTCAGAGGAAATTCAGAATGTACCATGAGGTGAAGAACCGTGTCCCCTTGGGAGGTGAGCGAGAACACCTGCTTTAGGGGATGTTTCTCGGTGGCAAGGGGATCTAGGGTGAGGCCGAACAACTTCTCACCTCTCTGCCCTGCCCTCCTCCCCTCTCCCAGAATGGCTGGGGAGGGAGCTGCTCTGGGCAGAGAATCGCTTTTCTGGGGCCATCTGCTGCAAGTCCCTCCTTTCTTCTCACTCCTAGTAAGGAAAGCCTCTTTTTTACACGGCCATCGTCTTAGCTTGTACCAGTGACGCGGAATGTGATAGGTTTGGGTCGGTGTTGTTTGGCTCAGGTGAAAGTCGTAATGCAATACGCGTGACTGCATAATGCAATCCTCTCCAGGCGTGTATTCGTTTACTAAGTAGCATATATTCAATTTTTTGCTATGTTGTGGGCATTCTGAAACTTAAACCTGCCTTAAAGCGGGCTCCTGACCTAGAGAAATTCTGAGTAATTGGAGAGACTTATGTAAATGCAAGTAAATTCAGCGTATTTCTAGATGGTTTGTGTAATATCAGGAAGGTTGTTAATTTTCCAGGTAGAAGCGGAGACGCTTACAGAGGAGGAAAAAATTGAAGGGAAAGTTTTTGCTAGAGCAGAAAGAGAGGCTATGCTAGAAAGGTGGGGATAGTACATGCCAAGTACTAGTGCCCTGTGGAAACATAGTCATACTTGGATTCCTGGATACAGAAATGACAGGTCAGGTTGGAAAGGAGGGAAGGAGCAAGGGATGCTAGGTGGGGAGGGTGTTAAAGGAGGGTGAGGCCATGTGAGGCGAGTTTCATGCTCTGCGCGTAGGCTTCTAACATATACAGAGCATCTTACCTCTGCTAGCCTTAGTTAAAATTTAAGTAGAGTTGGGCTGGGCTGATTTAGGTTTTAGACAAAACATACCGGCAGAATAACTATGATAAGAACAATCAACATGTATCAATCCCTATGTGATAATTCCTGTGCCAAATTGATAGGCTGTGTCATTTGAAACTTAACAACGATGCAGACATGACATACATTCTTACTGTCGTTCACATTTTAAAGATGAGGAAACAGAGACTAAATTTGGGCAACAAAACTAGTTGTTTAATACCCAACAACTAATACGAGAATCTGGATTTCAGCCTAGAATTTATGGACCTAACTACTCTCAATTCTGTGAAGCCTGGTTCCCCAAGGGTAGGAACCATACAGGGAAAACAAGAAGACAAGGGGTTATCACCATACCCCTGGTAAAAGGAACTGAAGTCAGAGAGTATTTAGCATGAGAGAAGTGATAGAGAATCACAACCTTTGAGAAGTATACTGGAGCCATCAACTAGTTGGAAAGGTTAGGAGTTAGGGATATATGGAAGGTATGCAAAAAACTGTACAAATATTTACATATACATTGAGCTTACTGTTATACAAAAACATTAATTTCATTTTCTATTTGAGCTACACAACAACCATCAATGCTAGGGCCATTTCTTCTAAGGATAAATGCTGAAGTTTAATTAGGTTCCCTAGCTTCTTTGAGAGATATCATCTCTGTCTTAATTCAAATGGATCTGTCTTTAACCATTATAGAGAGATTTCCTTTATGTTTCACGTCCCTGCTGAAACATAAAATCTGTGCTGCACAACTCCTTGCAAAAGTCACACTGTAAGAAATAATTAGGCTTGTTTGCTCATTCATTTATTCCTCAAATATTTACTGCATGTCACACACTGTGCAAAGAGCTGGTGATATAACAGTGACCAAAACAGCATACATGACCCCTTTCCAAATGGAATCTGTCATTTAATACATGTAAAAGCTGCAGACTGTCAGCCCTGTGAGCCAACTACAGTTCATAAGAAAAGCATTTATTTTAATATTCACTGTTCATTTAACTTATAAGACATTTACTGGTATATATACTGTCTAGTTTATTATAATATCCCCAAATTCTTTAAGTATCAATCAGACATCTATTAACAGTGTTTGCTAAAGAGCTAAGATTTTATTCTGGAATCAAGGAAGGTAATGTGTGACTTTATATTTCAGTCTTGTTACTTATTGAGTCCCAGCCAGGTCAGTGTCACTGAATTTTGTTTTGAAAGTATGCCTTGTGATTATATGAAGGGATACATCAAGAAGTTATAAGATATCCATCATTTCATTTGTGATTGGTGTACCATCGATGCCTTCCTTATGTAAGAGGACCTCTGGAGAAGAACATTTCCAGCACTTGGTACTCAGAAAATTATCTTATTTCTTGAATCATTTGTATCTTAATGGCAGAGAAATCATTAAATCCATGCATCTCACTCTGTGCTTTGGCCGCTGAAAACTTCAGGGTCATATGTACAGCTCAGCTTTTATCATTATGCAAATGTTTTTTTATCATTATGCAAATGCATTTTGATATATTAAATTTCTCCTTGATGGCTTACAATTCTAAACTTAATTTTACTTTTTCACACTTTACTAATTTGAGAACAGATATGTTGCACTGAATATATAATGTTTGTAAGTTGTCTTGGCACTAAGAGGGAAATAAATTTAAAGTAATTTGAAAACAAGTAAGTAATTGAAATTTTAAAAAAATCTTCACATCCAGATACATTTTGGTATTGTTTTTTAATGTCATGAAAAAACTAACACTTTCTTCCCCTGTGAAGTTGCTTATTTCACCTCCGAACCAGCTCTCTTAATTAAGACTATCTGCCTCCTTTTTTCATTGCTGAGACAAAATACCCGACACCCAAAGTTAAAGGAGGAAATGTTTATTTGTCTCACAGTTTGTGGAGGTTTCAGCACGTACTCAGCTGATTACAAGGCAGGGTGGCTTGGCAGGCAGTCATCTGAGAAGAGAAACAGTTCATGGCGGGCAGAAGGTAGCAAAACAAGCAAGGGAACCACAGCTACTTCTATTCTTTCTGTCTTATCCAGGCTACTTGGGTGGGTAGTACTCAAATCCTTAATCCTAGTGCCCTTGATCTTAGTATTGCACCATGAGTCAACCCCAGCATCATACGCTCTAAATCCAGCCATCTCTGACAAAGCCCCACCTGTGATCTCATGAGGCTTTGGCGGGACATCTAGACATGAACCCTAACAAAACTTTTCCCCTCTCACGTCTCAACTCAATTGCCAATTTTTGGGGTAAAGGTGCCCCTGAAGACCATTGATAATCTGTGTTCTTACCTTCTCCTTCTTCTAAGAGACAAAAGGGAAAAATCTTATAAATTAACATTCCTCTAGGACGCAAGCGTCTTAAAGGAAAATACCACAACTTATACACATTCTTAGCATTCTATTCACAGCAGTTACTAACAAGAAAACATAATAAGAAAAATTATTCCATTACAATAACTTCAAAACTCTTTCAGGGACCCAGAAAATACTGAAAAAAAAAAAGGATGCAAAACACCGTTGTAAACATTTATATATCATTATTGAAAAACACTAAATAAGACGTAGATACATGAGAAATGTACCACATATCTTATGTCTAGGAAGAGTCAGTATGGTAAAGATATTGTATATTCAAAGCAAAAAAATGCACTCAACATGAATCAAAATTATATCTTAATGAAAACTGAGAAACAAATTCTAAAAATCAAAATTAAAGAATGAAGGCTCAAAACAAGCCAAGAAAATTTGGGAAAAGGAAAGAATTATGATATGGGCTACTTGCCTTTAGGGTATCAAGATTTTGTAACTATAGAAATTGTAACATTTTTTATTTTGTCTGGCACTCATGTAAAGAGAAAAATAGTATCAGCAAATAAAAAGCAGAGAAATATTTCTCTATTTTAGGAAAAGTGGAAAAAGATGAGCTCATAATAAATCCTGCAAGCAATTTATGATCCAGAAGGAAAAACATACACATTTTTACCTGATTATATGGTGAAAATGTAAGATGGGTGGAAATATACATTAAAATATAAAAACCAAATCTTCAGAATATACAAAAACTATGTAGTCAGCGATGGCAAACCTGCGTCATGCTTGCCACAGTGAACAAACAGAGCCCTCTTAGTAGGCATGAAATCTAAGTCACTCAGCAGCTGAGCTTTGGATATTCAGGATGAATCTCAGGGTTGGCACTTCTTGAAAAATAAGTGGACTTTGAGTTGTAGTCTCTAAAAGGTTCACCATTGGTATAGGACAATATCCTCACAATTTTGATACAGGGAATGATTTAAAGATGAAATATTAAAGAAATGACTTATAGAGATAACTACATTAGCACAAAATCTTCTTTAAATAAAAGAACCTACTAACATAACAAAGTCAAGCCACACAAAGGAAGAATATGTTTTCAAGAAATTTACTCCCAAAAGACTTGTATCAGGAATTTACACACCAAAATAGAAAGGAAGAGAAGGAAGGAGGGGAACAAAAATCCTGCTACCAGTAAACAGGAAAAAAAAAGAGATATTCTAAAAGGAATTGAAATTTAATGATATACAATTTCTAACTTTTCATCTGATACAAATATCGACTAGGAAGTCTCATATATTTTTACTAAGCATAGGAACTTTAAAAATATTGTAAAACACTTGGAACAGATCAAAGATGCACATGCTCTTTGAAATTTTGCCACTAGTAATATATTTAGTGATACCCTCATGCAGTCTAAGAATTTTCATTGAAGTGTTATTTTTAATAGTGTACATTGGTAACTTAAATCTTTATCACTTGTGAGTCAATCAATCAATAAAGTTATAATCACACAATAGAATGCAAGTCAAAATATAGAAACATTAGCTTGACACATTAGCCTGAATCCCTGAGATAAAACAATAAACAAAAACAGTCAAGTCAAAGCAAAAACAGGTAGGTGCAGAATGATACAATGAGCCTGGAAACATTATGTAATGGTGGAAGTACATTAAGTGCAAATACAATTTTATAGTAAAAATATGAAGTAAGAATAAGAAAGATTCTAAATGTTAGGATTCAAATGAGCATGTAACTTTTAATTGTGTTCTCCATTTAGTCCTAGATATTGGAAATAGCTTAAATATTGAAAATCTAATA